TTAATTCAGTTAAATCTTCACACGCTTCTTTGTATTTGCCTATAATTAAGTAAGCTTTTCCTCGAGAAATTAGTGCAAATGTATCATTTGGTTTATTTTTTAATTCGTCTACGTATTGGTCAAAGGTTTTAGAATTGATCCAGCATGCTTCCCATAATTCTTTACCAATAAAATCATTAGTCATTGCTATCATAAAGAAATATTATCGTTATTAACCATTTTAAATATGCATCAAAATTTATTGATAAACAAAATTTACTTAAATATTTACACTTTTTACATCCAAAATTCGCCTCTACAGACGCGTCTTGTGATCTTAGTCCAATGCAAGGATACAAATTATTTTTTAAATCATCTAAATTATTAGGTAAATAACTTGCAATTCCTTGAAATATAATGAAATATCAAATCTTTATTAATTAATTTAAAATCGTTAAGAATAACGATATAAATCAAAAATAAATTGAATTTACCTAGATTTATACCATTTTTAGTATAAAATATCATCTTATCGTCATTTCTAAAATTTAAATAACATCCAATTGTATCACAACAGTATATGTCGGTCCATATGGCTTGCCACTTCCGGAACAAAAAAAATATCCATCGTCACCATGGTAAGCACACCCCCATGATTTATTTTCCTTATTTTCTTTATCTTCCACATATTTCCTTCCTATAAGATATTATACATAGCATTAATATGTAATAATAAAAATTAAATAAAAAATAGTTCATTATTACCAAGTATGAAATCGTTTATATTACTTTGTTTTGTACAGTATCCTACTCCAATCATTCTAATAATAAATAGAATTAAAGTGATTATGAAAATTTATATAATAATATTGACTTAATACATAAAAATAATTATTTAATATTACCCATTTTTTCCTTCATTTATAATTTCAATTTCAAAGTAAAATAATCCGCATTGTGAAGGAATTGGATTATTGGCTCGAATTACAACAGCTTTATGATCACTAGGATCTTTAAAAAAAATTTTGTTTAACTATATATAACAATGTATTACAGTATATTTCTAAGAAATTTCTCTTATTAAAATTTATTACACATCTTACCCGTATAATTCACTTTAAGCCCACTTGAATCTATGCTAACAAACTGTGAGTTATCATCAATATTCCACGCAGTTGGTAAATCAAGGCCATTGAACAACGTAT